ATTTATAATCTCTCAAGTCTCAAGTACTTCATTCTTCTTCGATAAATCATATACTTCACCAATTATAACTTAAAAATTAGGTAAATTCGAATTTGAGTCAATACCATGTCAGTTCAATAGCGAGCCAGATCATTTACAGGTCGAGACAAGAATAATTGAGTCATTTACAAGTCGGGTTGATAACATGTCAGGTAAAATCAGATCTCAGATCGTTTTAATTTGGGTTATATCAATTCTTTACCAAGGTAATCTCAAGTTCAGATTCATATCATATCGGATGCAAGTCGAGTTCGGTTATCACATTATAAGATTCAAATCAGATTCAGGTCGTTCTCAGGTCGAGTTCAGATCCAAAATAACCAGATCCAACTTCAGTTCAAATCAACACCAATTCAAACTCGAATCAATTTTAGGTCATCACTATCTTCAATCACAAACAATGCAGACTTGGTTAATTTTAGTCAAATTTTCAAGTGGAGTAAATTTTTCACATTCCCATTTGGGATACTATTTATGAATTAAGAACAAAATTAAGGAAAACAATCAATGTACCAATGCAATCATTTTCTATAGGTAATTCAAAAATCAACCGAATTCAAATAATTCAGTGATTCATATTTTAGGGATGTCATTTACTATATTGAAATTAAAAATTTAATAATTATTTTAGGGTCATGTATGATAATTTTTACAAATAAAAAATTATACCAAATAAATAATGGTAAAAATAGTAATTTAAGTAGGAAGGGAGACTGCCTGCATCGATGCTAATAAAATAAGAAGAGCAAGAGAAGCATGAAAAGCACATGCAAATGTATACAAATTAATAATTAAAATAGATGATCTGTAACACTAATAATTAATAATTAATGTTTCTTAAATAAAATTCAATAATTAATAATTACTTGATTTCTTCACTAAAGATTGTGTCCAACTCCCAAGAAATTTTCTTTTAGTATGATTATTTCATACGAAAAAAAATCACAAACAAGTAGAATTCACGTGGTCTTCTTAGTCTCAAGTCTAATAAGGGAATCTCAATTTCTTGGGGATTCCACGATGATGGTGCTCCTTCGACAAACAATCTACCTCTACAATCCTGAGATAGCAAACGATTTAAAGAGTGAGCCACAACAACCTAGAAATGTACAATTATCCTGTGAGATTTATATATTATAAGTTAAGTAACGTAAATGAGAAGTGCATATACTGTAATCTTCCAAAGTTCATACATATGAATATATATTTTTCCAACAGTCTCTATATCATTTAGTCCAAGGAATTAGCATTATCATTATTATTATGATCGCATAATTTAAACATGTAAATACCCATGTGAGGCACTTGGATCACTTCAGGGCTCCCGTACGAGTTTCCTGGTAGCAAATACGATAATATGCTCCCTTGTGATTCACTCTAATCCTTTGGAGCTCCCGTGCGAGTCAACCAAAATAATTACGATTAGGTGCTCTCGTGCAAGTCACTCTAATCATTCGGGGCTCCCGTGCAAGTCATCCGAAATAATTACGATTAGGTGCTCCGTGTGAGTCACTCTATTCATTCTGGGCTTTTGTGCGAGTCACCCAGAATAATCACGATTGGTGCTCCCTTGCGAGTCACTCTAATCCTTCAAGGCTCCTGTGCGAGTCACTCAGAATACACATTATTACATATCTTTGCATACCAAGTGAGCAGTAGCTCTTTATTATTCACCTAGCTTTCATTCACGCTTCTATACATTTTTTATCTTATTGTCATAACATAAATTTACAACCGTGAACATTAACATGTAATTCCAGCACTAAATTAAACACATACAATTCTAGCAGTGAAACTTAACAATGACTTGCACCAGTGAAATGAATACATAATTTTAGCACTAAACTTATGACATGATTTCAGCAGTGAAACTTAACATTGACTTACACCAGTGAAATGAATACGTAATTCAAGCACCAAACTTATCACATCATTTCAGTAGTGAAATTTAACATTGACCTACACAGAAAATGAATACGTAATTCCAGAACTAAACTTATCACATAATTCCAGTAGTGAAACTTAACATTAACTTACACCAACGAAATGAATATGCAATTCCAACACTAAACTTATCACATAATTCCAACAGTGAAACTTAACATTGACTTACACCAGTGAAATGAATATGTAATTTCAGCACTAAACTTATCACCTAATTCCAGCAATGAAATTAACATTGACTTACACCAGTAAAATAAATATGTAATTCCAACACTAAACTTATCACATAATTCCAGTAGCGAAACTTAACATTGACTTACATCAGTGAAATGAATACGTAATTCTAGCACTAAACTTATCACATAATTCCCACAGTGAAATTTAACATTGACTTACACCAATGAAACGAATACGTAATTCCAGCACTAAACTTATCACATAATTTCTGCAGTGAAACTTGACATTGACTTACACCAGCGAAATGAATACATGATTCCAACATTAAATTATCACCTAATTCCAGTAGTGAAACTTAACATTGACTTAAACCAGTGAAATGAATATGTAATTCCAGCACTAAACGTTTCACATAAGTCAAGGAGTGAATTGAACATTGACTTACACTAGTGAAATGAATACGTAATTCCAGCACTAAACTTATGATTTCACATATCAAATGGTAATAAGGATTAAATCGGAGTGACACCAAGTCACCCAAACATACAACTACACTTTCAATTACTTTACCTTATTGTCATATGGATCAAAGAATAAGAGTACATTACCTTAAATAAAATAGCTAGAGTGGATACCTCCTCCTTCCTCACCTTCAAACTTTCTCCTTGCCCTTTGATTGTGATGATCCCCTAACTTCTTTCTCTAAAATAGGATGAGATCAGACAAAAAGAACAAAATAATAATGCTAACAACATATGACTAAGTTTTTTAACCTTTCTCCTCACTTTAAGCCACGATCATAACCAATAACATTTGTGATTCTTCCAAAATTTAAAATCTCTTCCCCTCACATGGAAAACAATTGATGGAAAAGGAATGGAGATGAAATTACTTTCCTTTTTCTCTCTCCCTTCTAGAACCCACCATAGTTTTCAATATATTTAGGCTTAGGATAGATTTTCATTGAAAAAGGGTTGAATTGCCCATTTAGTCCCTTATTTTGTCATCTCGTCTCAAGATTTCCATGAGCTTACTAATTTACTTATCATTTATTCGATTTGGTTAATCCTAATGTCCCAAGGTTTTCATTAAAAGCACTTGGGTCTAAATTCGAGCATCTAGCCGGGCCTTGTCCGGGTCATTACAAAAATAATGGATAAAGATGGGCAACTGTTGAAAATAGATTTCTTTCGGCTTGGTTTCAGAACATATTATTATGCTTCGACTATTGTTTGATATTATGATTGGTGATGCACGTTGAATGTTTGAGCCATACTGTTGAGGGGACTTTGTGTTCTGGTGTTTTTGAGATCCATTAATAATCCAAGTGTACTTTACTCACCTTTCGAGTTTAGACCTTCAAAAATAATTATTAATTTTAAGAATTTGGTATTTTTCACCACTTGAGTTCATTTAATCATTGCAAGTATTAGGATCTCCTAATAATTTATTTACTCATTTTAAAGTTATTTGAAGGTATTGAGGTACAACAAGAGGTGTTTCTAATATTTCAATAATAAGAAGTATTGGTACTCAAATATATATGCTCACTTAATACTATCAGTACTGAAGTAAGAGTATCGACAATGGATTAGGGGTATCAATATTAAAATAGAACACTAAAATCCTACTAATCATTTAGTATCGATATTGTCCAAGTAAGTATGGATATTGTATGAACAATATCAATACTTCATAATGATATCGATACTTACCCCTTTACAACATATATTTCAAGGCTAAATTCTTCTAGTACTGATACTAATAACCAAAAAAACTCAGAAAAAAGATTTAGGAAATCACTTCAAAATGTCTTTAATCACTTGTTTTAAAGCCTTTCATGAATCTTAAAGCTTATAAGATTATCAAGTAATCATTTAACATCATTTTAACATCTTTTACGTCAAAAATTAGTGAGTAAGCTCTCTTTCAAAGCACAATCGCCTCAAGATTGAAGTGAGTAGTCTTTCAATGTAACATCCCTTATGATTGGTGGAGTAAATTATCTTTTAAAATCCTATCTCCTCAGGCGTGAAGGAGTGAATCATTGTCTTTCAAAGTTTTATCGCTTCAAGTTGGAGTATTTTCTTTGATTAAACTACCCAAGTCGTTGAACATCTGAGGCTCAATTTAGAACTTGATTAAATCAATTGTGTTTCAGTCTTTGTCAATTTCTTATTCAAAAATAATGGATAAAGATGGGCAATTGTTGAAAATAGATTTCTTTCGGGCTTTTTTTCTGAACTTATTATTATGCTTCGACTATTGTTTGATATTATGATTAGTGATGCACGTTGAATGTTTGAGCCATACTGTTGAGGGGAGTTTTAAAAGAGAGATTATTAGCGTATACTTTTTTTCATAGCAAAGTCTGTCTTATAAATAGAAAAAAGAACATATCAGATCACCTTTTGCCTCGTATACTGTTAGTTCATGTCTTGTTGCAACAAAATAAGAAACAACGATTGCTTTAATATTTCACTTAAATTGGCAATTTTGACTTTTTAATATGACTAAGATTACTCTTATATTGGCAATTAGGAGATAAATGAATGAGCCTGATGCTATAATTAGATAATAATGATATTATGGACCTTGGGAGCTGCAATAGAGAGTAATGCATACAAGCAAGCAAACGAGTTGATAGTTAAGCAGTGATCAGGAATCCCACGTACACTTGTTATACAGGATGATCATTATTACAAACTGAAGAGCAAGCAAGCATTTCTAGCTAGGTAGCTATTACATGCAGTAGCTGCATATTTATTTATTTATCTAATATGTTGATCATGAAACCAAGTGGGGGATATGAGGTTTAAAATGAAATTTAAGGTTAAATCTTATAGTTCATGATGGAGACGAATTGTAGGATCATCACCACAATCCACAAATTCATAGTTCACTGTAAGATGCCCGTCTTGCCTGCCTTTGTCATCCATGATCTCAGAAAACGCTGGATAGTCCAAATCCAAACTTGGCCTGGTGCATGTATCCAGCACTCTCACCGTCACGCTTTTTCCATTGGCAGTGTTGGACACCTGCATGCATATATGCATTCTGTCAATTCATGCACTCATGGTTTCTAGTAAAACAGAAACACATTTATTTTGCTTGAAAACAAAGGGCGCTTACTTTTAAGCAGAGTCCACATCTTGATTATGGCTTAGGAATCTCCGGTTCACAGAAGGCGGTCCAATAATATTTGTTGCGCCATTCAAAAGTCTTATATGCATATTCAGGGAACTGGGAGCAGTAAACGCCTACCTTTGTCAGACTCCAGTCATTCTCTATAACCTTGTAGTCAGTCCAATAAGCTGTCGCATCTTCAGCAGCCATGGAAGAACCTATTGGCCACCCCAACATCACAATGCAGCTAACTAGTATAACCCTAATTACTTATCTCTCCATTCTTCTTTTTCTTTTTGGTCTATTCTTCTGCTTGCTTTGAATGATATATCCTTTCCTGGGATATGCTCTTATTTATAGGCAAAGTTCCCCTCAAAGGCTTTACAGGATAGCCATCACTTGTCTTTATTTGAATCTTCTTCACAATTGGACTTCATTTATTTTAATTAATCTATATACACACACATATGATTTTCATGCTTCTTTTGTTCTTATTTGATGCAGGAGGATCTGAGACAGATGATGCTGAGCTATCAGATTGCACCTTGATGGCGCTGAGATACCATGAGTTGGCAGATCAGCGCAAAGGCGGGAGTTGATTGTGATATGTTCCTCATTGGGGCCGTTTTGAGTGCGTTTTCATCTTTTGGCCATAACTTTGGCTACGGGTGTCGGAATCGCGCATAAGACCCCAATCCGGAAAGCTCTTTTCGACGCGCACGCTGTCCACATCGAGCATGGCTCCATGTAGCCTTTTTTTTGACCTCAAATTCTACTGTTTTCCCCTCCGAATCACTAGTTTTAGATATTTTTTACTATTTATGTTAATATTTCGATTGTCAGTTAGGAAGTCATTTTAAATCCGATTTGGGCCGGAGTTTTTGCAGATTGCTTATTTTATTACGGATTTCAATTTAGAGTGATTTTCGGGATTTTGCCATTTTTGGTAAAATTCGAATAAACATGATTTTTGGCTATAACAGTCCGATTTGTGGACTGATTTGGTCATTGTTTTGATTTTATAATATTCCGTTAAACCCTAGAAACTTTTTTCTCTGGTTTTGGGCGAATTTTCTCTTGTGAATCATCTATTGGAACAAGCCTGCAGGATAATCGCTATCCTGTCCGGCGTCAGTTGGCATCAGAGCATCAACATCTTCCTGGGAAATTTCACCAGTTTCAATGGCTGGAGGTCGTGGTCGTCGTGAGCAGGTTCTGAATGAGGAAGCCCAACGCCGTGATTGCAGCGTTCAGGATGCGATGATTGAGGATTTGCAGAGGCAAGTCGCAGAATTAACCCAGCGTCTGGCGGCGCAGGATTTCAAGAATCGTGAGTCCTCTGATCACGATACTAATTCCACTTTCTAAAACTCATATCAAAATCGTGCTCTATTCTGGGAGCATCGTGGTCGGGAGGAGCGTCATGGAGACCTCGGTTTTCGGGTCGATCTCCCTGTTCTGGTACGTTACAGGCCGAGGGATTCGTGGATTGGATTAATGAAGTGGAGCATATTTTTGATTATAAGGAAGTCCCCAATCGTGTGAAAGTGAAACCGATCGCCATCAAACTCAAGGGCAGAGCATCTGCGTGGTGGGAGCAGTTGCGACGTTCACGAGACAGGAAGGGCAAGGCCAAGATCACTGATTGGGAGAAGATGAAGAAGAATATGAAGGGTCACTTCCTTCCCTTCGGCTACACGCACACCTTGTTTCAGCGAATTCATGTGTTGAGGCAGGGCGCACGATCAGTCGATGATTACACGGAGGAGTTTTACCAATTGGTCGCCCGGAACGATTTATCTGAGACGGAGGAGCAGATGGTGGCGCGGTATTTGGGGGTTTACGCCAGCCCTTGCAAGATGTCCTCTGCCTTCATTCACTGTGGAGTGTTTCGGAAGCTTACCAGCGTGCACTTGCTGTTGAAAAACAGCAAAGCAGGAGACTAGTGGCCTTTTTTTCGACCTCAAATTCTGCTGTTTTCCCCTCCGGATCACTAGTTTTAGATATTTTTTACTATTTATGATAATATTTCGATTGTCAGTTAGGAAGTCATTTTAAATCCGATTTGGGCCAGATTTTTTGCAGATTGCTTATTTTATTCCGAATTTCAATTTAGAGTGATTTCCGGGATTTTTCCATTTTTGGTAAAATTCGAATAAACAAGATTTTTGGCTATAACAGTCCGACTTGTGGACGATTTGGTCATTGTTTTGATTTTATAATATTCCGTTAAACCCTAGAGACTTTTCTCTGGTTTTGGGCGAATTTTCTCTTGTGAATCATCTGTTGGAACTAGCCTGCAGGATAATCGCTATCTGTCGGCGTCATTATTTATAGGTCAAATCTGTCTACCTAATTCCTAGAAAGATCATGATAAACTTTTATTTGAATTTGTTGTAATTGCTTTGATTGATACCATTTTCTTGCGATATACTTTGTTCTAAAAACATTGATGAATTAGTTTTGAATCTAGTATAATACATGTTCTCTAATTCAGCCCATCAAACCAATGTATATGAAACAGCTTAAGCATCTATGCTTCTTTTTCTGTTGGCTCGAAATAGTTAAGATTGTCAATATCCACCCGTTTAAAGCATCTAAGATTAGCAAAACTTACCAATAATCTAAAGAGGCATTTTATCGAACTATCCTCTTTGCAACAAACCACAACAATAATTTTTTTGTCTTTTTGGTCCTTCCAATTGCTTTTATCAGTGAATGATCTGCTTGCAAATGATAAATAAAATTATTTCATTCATATTATAGATAATTCCAATTAAAATTTTCCAATTTAGCTCTTATTTGAGGTAAAGCATCATCAATATTCTCCATAAAATTTTTCCTTGTCTTTTTTGGTCCTTCCAATTGCTTTTTATCAGTGAATGATCTGCTTGCAAATGATAAAATAAAATTATTTCATTCATATTATAGATAATTCCAATTAAAATTTTCCAATTTAGCTCTATTTGAGGTAAAGCATCATCAATATTCTCCATAACAACTGAACCACCTTCATCAAATCTTCTATAAGACTTAATCCTATGTCTGTCTTGAACCGCTCTAGCGAACACATGAGAAGTTAAATTCAAAATTTGCATCACCATACATTTTCTGCCCAAATTTTTTCCCTTTAGTTCGAATCATTTCTATAGTCTGTTACTTTTTCCTGATAGCGGAGAAACTAGTCATACATGCCTTCCTAATTCAGGAAATTTGACTGTTTTAAACCTTTTAACATTGTTGTTCTAAAAGATTATCAGGGGAGGTTTGAGCTATATTTATAGTCTGATTTCTGCAGATTGTTTAGACCATGCGAAAATTGATATGAGAACAACCCTTGAATTGTTTATTGAATCTGAAAAAGGTGTTCATCATGAGCTGATCGTAGAATCAGATTCTCAAGTTGCGGCGGTGAGTTACTAAGTCGTTATTGAGAAAATGGGTATTTTGGAACTTCTTCATGAGCTTTGATAGGCTCCCCATGGCTCCGCCGAGGTGCTGTTTGTTCTTCCAATTTTCAACATAACCCACTATCCAATTGCCATTTTCGTCCCTGATTATTCCCCCGATTTTGCTAACTCAGTGGTTGCTTTATACCCCCCATCCATGTTGATGATCCAACAACTTGCCGAAGGTTTCATCTATCTTGCCCAAACCAGCTCTCGTCACGAGTTTGTATGTTGTCGTCAACGCTGATCTCGTATCCCTTGCCAGTTATGTGCATAATTTCACCCGACTTGGATTTTCGCTCTTCTCTTCGAAGACTTGTTCTTCCAAAGACTCCATATTGTCGCCGATAAGAGTATACCCCATCTTAAACCATCCCCCATGTCTCTCTTTGAACAATAGTTTTTCCTTAAGCCCCTGTCTGTCTCCCCATAGTTCCACGGAGGCGCGGTTGTTCTGCTAATTATCAACATAAACCCACCTATCCAATCGCCATTCTCGTCCCTGATTATACCTCTCGTTGTTGCCAACTCCATGGTTACTTTACACCTCACGTCTGTGTTGATGATCCAGCAACTTGTCGAAGGTTCATCTATCTTACCCAACTAGTTCTCTCATCACGAATCTGTATGTTGTCATCAACGCGATCGTATCCCTTGCCAGCTTATGTGCGTAATGTCCTCCCGAATTGCATTTTCTCCCTCTTCGAAGACCTTTTCTTTTTGTTCCTCCAAAGACTCAATATTGTCGAGAAGAGTATACCCAGCTTAAACCATCTCCCTTGTCCCTTTTTGAACAATAGTTATTCAATTTATTCAGATTGTAAAGCCATATGAAGACTGTAATCTATTCTGCATCTTCCACTCTCCAGACACATTTCATGTTTTCCGATGATTGCTCTGGCATTTCCATGTTCATAGCTTTGGCAGCTGAAGCTATCGTGAACTTCCCATCTTTGGTGAGACCCCATAAGACTTTATCTCGGTTCCGCTCGTTATTCCTATCGGGATTGGGATCCCTTGGATTTGATCCCCTGTTTCCGAGATGATACCCTGAATGTCTTAGAGGTTCCATGTCTTGAAGAGTTTGTTTAAGGAAACACCAATTCACATTGTTGTAAGCTTTTTTGAGATCATTTTCATGATTAATTTTCTTCCATTCAATCTTATCATAGCGTGGACTATACTTCTTGCACAACCAAATGTTGTACGTTGAACTTCTCCACGCCATGAAGCTATTTTGGTACAGACCTACAATACGTTGTATAACCGGTCGTAGCTGTTGCACCAAGACATTGAGAAAGTTTTGTATGAAGTGTTTAAGATACTAATCGACGAAACTGAGTTATTCGATTAATAGTGTTAGTTTGGGAATGAGCACTAGGAAGGCTTTGAGCACCCGTGTATCTATCGCCCCCGAATTCATGGCTGAATTTACAAAGTTCAAAAGGGTATCTTTCACCGTGTCCCAAATCTGCTTATAGAAGATTGGTCCAATACCGTCTGGGTCGGATACTTTCAGCCCTTTCATGGAGAAAAGAGCTGACCGAACTTCCTCTAAAGAAAAGCTTCCCACGATGCTTTTTTTTTCTTTCTTTTTTGCTTCATTTACCTATGGTTTAAATCTGCCATAATCTTCCCCTAACTCCTTAGAGATTTTTATGTGAATAGATTATTGTAGTATTCCATCACATGCCGACACAAAGACTGCTTCTCCGTTACCCAGATGTTACCAATGAACAACCCTAGGACTCTGATTTATTTAAGTCTTATCATTGTCGTGAGGTGAAAAAACTTGGTGTTTTATTTAAGAATGCTTCTCCTTACAAACCGTATATATTAGTAATTCCATTCGCATGTGACCTCTTGTCACACCCCAAAAATAGGGCCTAAAATTCTCTTAAATTTTTTTAGGAATAAATTGAATTTTAATTTAATTCAAGGACCAAAGTAAAATTTTGATTAAATTCGGATCCAAATTCAGAAAGCAACTAAAGATGGAGGACTTGTGGCATGATTTTGCCACTTTATTTTTTTTAGGTTTATATAACCCAAAACCTAGAAAATTTTCAAGATTTATTTTATTTTATATCTCTTCAATATTTTCCTCTTTTAGAAAGAAATCTTTGATAGTCGCTTCGTTGTCATTCGTTGCTCAGTTTTTTACACCTGTCACACCATGTGTTCTCTGCGTCATCCGAGACTCCGGTGTCCGCTTTGTCTCTGTTACCGTTGGTGTGTGAAGGGGTGAAAAAGATTAAGTTTCGTTTCGAAATCGAGCTCTCCGTTGTTCATCGTTGTGAACCGAACTTGGTAAGTGTCTCAAAACCCCTTAAAATACATTTAAGATTTTTTTTGAATTTTTCTGACCCTGTAGGCCATGTACGCGCCACGCGTGGCCCCAGCGCCTGGTGGACTGCTTGGAAAAGGGTCGATCTGACCCGACCGCTGACCTGACCCGCTTACCCATGTCCGACTCGATCTGACCCAACCCAGTCCGATCGTTGACCATTGATCGACTGTTGACCATTGATCGACTGTTGACCGTTGACCGTTGACCGTTGATCGACCGTTAACTTGACTTTGGCCCAAAAAGTCAAAATTTTTGAAAAGTCACATTCTATGTTTTTCGACGTCCTGAGTCTGATTCCGAAATCCGTTTTGCCAAATTCTGATCCGAAAGCCCTGAATCGAGCTCGTTAACCCAAAAATGCTTAGTATTTTTAGCATTTTGCTTATTTATTTGAAATTTGGTTATGGAATTGATCCAACAATATATTTTATGAAGTTACTCGTGTTTCACCTGACTGAGGGTCAGTTAGGTTCGGTATTTTCGTTCTTCAGACCCGCTCGATCCACTTTCTACGAGAGATACCCATAGGTTTCCATAAATTATTTAAATAAAGGTTAATGTTATTCATATTAGGATTTCGATATGGATTTTCCGATTCGTAGGATCTAGCGCTGCCACTGATAGTGATTAACATACAGTAGTAGCCTTCCCTATCATACTACTCAGACCGATACAGGTGTGTTTCTGATTGTGTTTACATTATTGTTTTCAACTATCTGTCTGAACTGTTGAGATTTTTTATAATAGTGAATATTTTTACGACATAATACTTGATTTTCTGAACACAGTTTATCTGATATTGATTTACTGTATATCTGATATGATCTCTGGATTACCATATTTTCGTATGATTTCTGGAAATGAAATATTTTCATATTTTAATGGATTAAAATATCATTTTCATTCAAACATACGTATTATTTCTGTCATTGAGGGTTTTATTGGAGGAAGTATCTCATGCCTAGTCTATGACTTGTAAACCTTATCGCTTTCGCAGGCTCCTCGGCTTTGTGCTTAGGGTAAGTCCTTACAGCAGCTCCTCGGCTTTGTTTAGGGTAAGTCCTTACTACAGACTCATCTGCTTTGTGCACAGGATAAGACCTTACTGCATGCTCCTATGCTTTGTGCACAGGATAAGACCTTACTGCAGGTCTCTACCTTATGCACAGGGTAAGCCCTTACTGGGTGTACAGGTAGGTGTATGGTTCTGGGAAACCTACACATTCTGGTGATTACTACAGACTCATCTGCTTTGTGCACAGGATAAGACCTTACTGCATGCTCCTATGCTTTGTGCAGGATAAGACCTTACTGCAGGCGTCTCTACCTTATGCACAGGGTAAGCCCTTACTGGGTGTACAGGTAGGTGTATGGTTCTGGGAAACCTACACATTCTGGTGATCAGACGGGGGTATTTTTCATGTTTTTTAAACATGTTTGATAAACCAATTTTACAGAAATATTTTATCTATATGTTTTTATACACCGTAAGAAGCACACTGAGCTTTTTAGCTCATTATGTAAATTTTAACCTTTTCAAATAATAGCAGACTCGACATCAGGAGGATCGACTACTCCTACTTTTGTACTATTGTATATCTCTATATGCCTTTGTTATACTTTGGTGACACGTGTTTCGCTACCGTCTTGATATATCTGTATTATCGGTATTTTGTTCTGTAAATTTTTATACGGTTTTCTGATATATGTATATATGTTTCATATGAATCCTTATTATGGATAAATTCATATTATATGTTTTAAATATGAAAAGAATTTTTAAATGCGATATGTGACCGCCTAGATTTGGGTATAATATCCAGATTTTCAAGATATTTCTTCAAAAATTGTGTCACTTTATTTTATGAGTTTTAATATATTTGAGGTTCTTGATGCTAGTCTAACTTAGGTTCAAAATCTTTCTGTAGAGCCTTATATATTTATCCGATGAGTGTTGTTAGAGGTTTTTGGCTAGGCCGTGGTCGTGGTCGAGGGAGAGTGACTCGACCTTCTGTTATTATAGATGATTCGATGTCATCGCGAGATCCTTATGTTCCGCATGTAGATCTGCATATTCGTAATGATGACTCGGTTACTCCTGTGATAGACCCACCCTGAGGACGAGGATATTGTAATGGATGAGGACACCATTAAAGAGCTGTCTTTTGCATGTTTGGGATGGCTGCTAGAGTCCCTGATAATATGTCTTCGATCGACATTTCGATGTTTTTGGTAGCTGTTGGAGTAGTTCTGTTTCTGAGGGTCTTAATATCCCGATTGAGAATATTAAGAGTTCGGTGATAGTTCAGAGGTTCGTAGGTCAGTACATATAGTTAGATCGTATTTATAGAGGGTGTCCTATAGAGATCCATAGGGAGATCTTTCAGGTCGGCCTAATGGAGTTACCTTTGTAGGAGTTTGACTTGATTCTTGGCATGGATTGGTTGAACCAACATCGAGATAATCTTGATTGTGAGACCAAGAGAGTTGTTCTAAAGACTCCAGATAAACGAAAGATTGTGATAATCAGGGAATGTCGTGGATTCTTGACGAATGTTGTGTCAGCATTGGTAGCTGAGAGGATGATCAGGAAGAGTTCTGAGGCATTTCTTGCTTATTTTGGACACTAGGAGTTCTCAATCTGACATTGAAGGCATCCAGATTGTTAAGTAATTTCCCTATTTTTTCCTGAAGAATTTCTTGGATTACCACCGGATAGAGAAGTTGAGTTTGATATTGAAGTCTATTCCGGTTCTACCCCAGTTTTGATCGCTCCTTACCGTATGACCCAAAAGGAGCTTAAGGAACTGAAAGTCCAACTCCAGAAGTTGTTGGATAGAGGATTTATTCGACTCATCACCGTGGGGAGCCCCAATTCACTTTGTCAAGAAGAAAGATGGGACATTGAGACTCTGTATTGATTATAGAACTGAACAAGCTCAAGGTTATAAACAATTATCCTCTGTCTAGGATCGATGATTTGTTTGACCAATTTCAAGGGCTTCTATATTTCAAATATAAACTTGAGGATCGGTATGGGCATTACGAGTTTTTAGTGTTGTCATTTGGGTTAACTAATGCCCCTGCTGCTTTTATGGATCTGATGAATCAGGTGTTTCAACCTTACTTGGACCAGTTTGTAGTTGTGTTCATCGATGACATACTGGTGTATTCTCGAACTGAA